TTTAAATAAAAATCATTTATTGTAAATATATATTATTAATTGATAGGTACTATATATAATTTAGATTTAACTGATTTGGACTATGTGTGTAGTACGAAAATTTGGATATTTTAAGGACTCTGTATCTTGTACCTACCACAGCTTAATACTAAATAATATATTTCAAATTTTTTTTGTAACCTTAACAGTTTTACAATGGGAGGGRGGGAATCAAGCAATATTGAAAATTAACAAATATTTCAATGAATTTCTTTGATGAGACTTATCGATTAGGGGTTATCTCTCAAAAAACCAAAAATATACATTCATATACTATAATTATTATTATTGGTCTTTTTAAACTGCTTGCTTTAACTTGCTTTCGGTAAATGAATATGAATGATGCGGTACCAAACCTCTCTCTCTCATTCTCTACTATCTGTCTATATCTTCGTAGCTCCACGGTATAAAAATTATTTATTAATACTAATTGGCAATAGGACATTTTTATTTATTTGTTGTGTAAATATAAAGATATTTATAGGTCAACATATTATTGTACGTATTTGTTAAATTTTTTTAAATTTAACGGAAATTAAATGAATTAAATGTATGATTTATTTGCTTTTAAACGTAATTAAAGACATTAATAATGATATGTTGAATCTAAAAATATGTTTAAGTGTATGATAGTTWATAAATTAAGATTTTTTGTATAAATTTGATTATAATTTTTCTAAGCTTTTTCTTAATAGTTTTGTTAAGGCGTTTACGTAAGAACTAAAATAATAAATGTTTAAATAGTTATTGGAAACCTCACCACTATATATTTTTAAGAAACAACTTATTAAATATAGTACCTATTCAAGCTGTGATTTCTTTRTTGAAAATAATATTTAACTAATTAATCACATTGATTACACAAATAACTTAACCTTTTTTTAACAGTTTAGCCTTATAAATTAACAAAGTTGTTTCGTTCTGTTAACAATAAAACAATTTTAAAATAAAATACATACTTGAATTAACGATTGATTAACATTTAAATTATGTTGATATAATGCTTTGTCTTATTTTTACTTATTTGTTTATTTATTTAATTATTACTTTTAAAAATTAAATTTTGAACATTGAGAAAAAAATCGTTGGTTCAAGTTTTTTTTTTATACCATATACTATAATAATATTTTGCTGTTATTATATATTATACTAGGCCACGATTTCTAAAACTTCTACTGAAACCAGATTGTTGGACTTTTGAAGACCGCCAGATGGACGGTGATGATATATATATATATACGTTTAAACGTTCAATTTTAATTTTAATTTTAACTATATTTTAATAAAATATCTAGTTGTAAAACTATTTCGGTCATAATTATTATTAATATTAATTAATTTAAATGAAAGAAATGTAATACCAATAATATATACTCTAAAATTGCTGATATTAATTTTGTGATACCTACCCTACGCGTGCAGTAGATAATATGAACAAATAAGTGCACACATGCTCGAGTTTATATTATATAATATCAAACTTGATATTTGTGAATTTTTTCAGTAGTATTTACATAATATATTGTAATAATGTAATATGTAGTTATATGTACAGCTATTTACATTTTAAAACCGAAGCTAGTCATATAGGTAAATATTGTGTATAATGCCAATGTGTATGACATATTTCATACATTAAAATTTATCTACTACRTTCGAAATTATAGTTTAAAAAAGAAATAAGCAGTTCTTCAACATTTTTATWTTGTAAATGACAACTATTGTAACCGCTTTTAAATACTTTCTACTYATAATATGTCTATAATTTGTTATTAAATTCCCCTATATTGCAATTTTACGGTCATGCTTTAGAGAGGCTTAAGAATAAAAAAAGCGATAAAATGAAATTTCGATGTTCAAAATACGCAGGTGGAATTGCTTTAGAGATAATTTAACGACTGGAAAATACATTAACACATGTTTTCTTTCATAGCACATCATATATATTTGTTTCGTTTCATCTTTTTGAACTTATTTTGAAGTACATTCACATATATTTAAAAGTTCTATACAAGTTTATATAAGATACGATACATTTTTTAGCTATAGTACCTAGTCTTTTACTAAGTGATAATAATAAGTAATACGTACTTTTTAATTCTGCCAATACAATTGTGTTTGGCGATGTCCTAATGATTCAATGTTTCTATATAGTTAGTAGAAGCATAATATATTCTATCCCAATTTTTTTCATCTCGCATTCATTATCACTGTTAATTCCCATGGACAGTCATCCCAATACATGTGAATAATTCTTATTAGAGTACGTATTTCTAATGCTATATGGACCATTGATGATGACAAGTAGAACATAAATAAATACTATTGTAGTTTAGTGCTTGCTTAGAAAAAATATTTAATTTGATTGCATTGGCTTGATAGATTAATGCAGTTTTTTTTTATATAAAACTTTTTTAAAGCATTGCATGTTTTTAGCATTAATTGTACAGATTATGTTGATGATATAAGTTAACTTTGAAAATTACGATACATGATTTTTATAAAAAAATTATTTATTCATAATTTGTGTTTACTAGTTCGATATAATGAACATAATTTATATATTGAACATAATTTGCGTTTGTATAAGATTTAAGTTATAAGTTTTATTATTACTATAGTGTTTCTATTGTTAATACACAATACAGATGAATTTATCACCRATTATTAGAATATGATTAATATTTATTATATTTGCAATTATTATAAACATTATTAAATAGCTTATTTTAATTAAATCAATGTCATTGAAATATGAAATATTTGTTATTATAATCCTAAATGCTTAGAATCGAAAAAATTCTAATCAGTGTTAATGTCATGTTCATGTGTTTGAAAGTTTTAAGATTATTTAAAAGCCTAAAAGTGGTTCTTAGAATAAATAGAGGTTCTTGATCTGTGTTTAAATTGAACTTAATATTAATTTAAATGTTAAAACTACCTATTTTAATGGTCTTAGTKGTTTCAAATTTTAAAGTAGGTATAGGATTAAATGATAGCCTGACTTATTATATGAATATGATTGCCTTACCTACTTATTACTATGAGTACACTATGTATATCAAAGAACAATGTTAAAAATTATATACGATATTAGCACCAAAAACAGTGGAATTAAACAAAAGCATCAATTATATTATATTATAATGTAGCATAATATAAAATATATTTCATAAAAAGCTGGTTTTCTTTGTATTATATAATCGATATACCTACTTAAAGTTGTATCATTTTAACACTAGATACCAAAAATATTTATGTTTATATCTTATATTTAAATTTTTGTTTGAAACAACAATAATGATTATTAATTGAAGTTTGAAATGTACGTGGGTAGTAGGTACAAAATGAAAATTGTATTTTAGTAAAGTTTTAAATTATATGAAATATTATATAATTGTTGATATAATATAAATGATCCATCAACACCTATCAGTAAGAATTCAATTTATTTGAACCAAACATTTTTTCAAATTAGATTACTTCCAATAACTTTAAACAACTTAAATTCGATAACTAAATTTAAATTAATGGATGAAAAAACTCTTTTTCTTGTTTTTTTTTTTTTTAATATCTTGATGATTTCCTTTTCATTTCCTTTTCATGTTACACCGTAATAATCTTGTCAGCGTATTAAATTCATTCACATCCGATTTCATAGACCATCAATTTAAGTTTGTAATAATCTAAAGAAAAGGTTTTTTTTGACATTATAAGACATCAGTCTAAGATATCTGGTTTTCAAAATTATAATAAAAATGTAATAGAATATACTATAACAATATTTTGCTTTTATTTCAAAAAATAGAGATAGTTG